TTAGATGATGCACAAAGGTTCGAGAGAGTCTTTGATAATCACGCAGAGATGCGGGTTTTGCATGTTTTTAGCTTTTGTTCATATATTAGTCGAGTTTATGCTACAATACGTTGTGAGTATAAATCTTCAGACTAGTGGAGCCAGATATCTTTTTATCTAGTAGCTAAATCGGCAAGTTTAAGATTGATAATTTTGGACGCTTTGTGGGCACTCTGTGGGCACAGTATATAAGAATTCGCTTTCGAGAGAAAGGAGTTCTTATAGAAATCACATGGGTTTCTGACCAAGTCGTTCCTGCTTTATTCTTAAGCAAAGCTTACACCCATACCCATCTTTTAAATCTTAAAGGTTTATTTCATATTTTAAAGCTTTGCACCAATCAAAACTCAAATATTTTCTCAACCCGAAACAGTGTTCAAGAAGTTCATGAAAGTCTCTGATTCTCAGTAAGTCCGGTCCCTGTGGAAACGATCTTGGTACTATACCACTTTATTACTTGAAGCGATCTTAGTGTCGGCGTGCACTTGCACTGCCACTTTGGGGATTTTATGCCCACTGTGTGCACACTTATGATTTTACCACATCAGTACTCTTTCATATATGAAGTACTGAGATAGTTCTTCAGATGGTTGACGTTGATTTTGTTTAAGAAACTATCACTCAGAATTCCTTTCAAAACGGGTGAGTTGCAACAAATGACAATGAAAACCTGTTACATCTTCAATGCATAAAATGATGTTGTCAACTTTAGCACGTGTCTTTATCTGATTTACTGATCAGTGCATGTTTGTACTCCTCATTTCATCCTTTGAAGGTGATTTCGACATTTATTTAACTCATATATCCTTCTATAGTACAGAGGGAACAGTAAAGCAAGTATGGTACTAATAAAAATAATACTTTAGAACTTATTTTGTTTGATATGCCAATCATGTTCCCATACCAGGATGAGAGTTGATAGGGTTGGTGAGCCAAACTTGTTGGATAAGTTTGCACTCCAAATTTGGCTTACCAGAAGTAATATTTGTCAGACTACTTTTGACTTTATCTTGTATTGATTTTCTTTTGGTTAGATGACCATCTAATCCGCTTTGGTGACGTCTCGATCTCATTTCAACTATTCTTTTATTTCGTTGAAGGTTTTTTGTTTTTGGATCAACACAGACAATTATAAGACTTTTCGAAACATAAGCTACAATCAAATTCTAGCAAGACTATTTATGAAGTATAAGCTTTGGATGAAATACAACACTTAGTTGATTTTGGCTCTTGGGAACGAAGACTGGATATTGCATTTATTCAATTCAGATGTCAAGTTTGGATTCAGATGTCAAGTATATAATATTTATATACGGCAAATGCAACAAATAAACTCACACTCTCCTCACCTATGGTGAGGTTTGAACCCCTGACCTCCTAGAAGACCAAGGGCTACGATACCCTTAGGCCAAAGGCCCTTTGGTCACATTCTAGATGTTTATGTCTATAAATATCACATTGTATTCGTTTGTAAGAATTGAATAATTTTGTATTATGTCATTAGCTTTAGGATGGTCTCATTCCTATCTTGGCTAAAGATCAGGTTTATAAAAAGTTGTAGGTATTCGAGAGGGCATCTTATGATGGTGGTGTTACTTCCTGTGCTGTAGAAGTCGATAATTGCAATTTGATTAATTATCTCATTCTGCCTTTCACTCGAAAGAGAATGTGTCTATGTGTATATTATAAAGCACATATCATTATGTCATAACCACAGTGTCCCTTGTGGTCATGTCGAAACATATATGTGTCATTGTCTCAAAGTTCTTTATGGTGACAAAATATGATTCAATAACCCAGATAATTCATTAGTGTGACACCTTTATTTCTCTAATATATGTTCCTTTCATATTTATTAGAGTTGATGTATATATACTCATTTTTATTCTCATAATATGCTCTCCAATTTATACGAATATCTTAACAAGGTTCCTATTAATATAGTGTTTTAGTGACTTCTTTAAAATATAATGCATTTAAGAATGGTGTCCTAACTGTTTATTTATATACTAGAAGAGTACTCGCGTAATGCAGCGAGACATATCTCATTTTAAATATAAAAAACTTAAAATATAATTAGGATAATAATTGAGTTTTAACAAAATATTTCATTATTATTTTTATAAAAAATATTTATTAAGCAAAAAAATGAATTAAAGAAACACAAAAAAATGGAAAAACTTTAAAGTCATTTTGGTACTAGTATCAATTTTTTTTTTCAATTTGTATAACATCAATCGAGACAAAAAAAACGAAACATTAAAATCGAAATGTATCTCGCTAAATTGTACGAGTACCCGTTAAAAAGATAATTGTATTTTGTATAAACTTTTATCAAAATGGAAAAGAAAACAAAGAAACAACGACAAATCATAAGATGCCCATTTCGGCTTTCCATCATCTTCTTCGTATTCATCTCTTCATTCCCACATTCATTTCTTCTTCACATCCGCCATGGAAATCATCCTCTTTTCAGCTCTACTCTTATCCCTCGTTATCCCTTTACTCCTTCTTCTTCGAACCAGAACATCATCGAACCGCCGGCTGCCACCGGGTTCACTTGGGTTCCCGGTGATCGGCCAAAGCTTTAGCCTCTTGACTGCCTTGCGAACCAACACCGACCACGAGTGGTTCGAAGAACGGATAAGGAAGTATGGTCCAATATCGAAGCTAACCCTTTTCGGCCACCCGACGGTTTTCCTCCATGGCCAGGCTGCAAATAAGTTTATATACACTTGTGATGGAAACACACTTGCCAACAAGATGCCGCCGTCGCTTAGCCGGATCTTGGGGAAGAAGATCATAGTCGAGTTGAATGGTGAAGACCATAAGCGAGTTAGGGCAGCAATCGTGTCGTTTTTAAGGCCCGAAGTGTTAAAAACGTACGTTCCGAAGATGGATCAAGAAACACGAAACCATCTTGACGTTCATTGGCGTGGTAAACGGGAGGTTCAGGTACGTCAAACGATCTTTTCATTGCAAGGAAAGCGGTTTTAGGATGCAAAATATGTCTAAATATCGTAATAGATTGTTTTATTGATATTAAGTCTATAAAAACTAATAAAATGTTTTATTTTAAAGTGTTTTAAGGGATATAAAAACCGTAATATAAACTTATTGTAACATTTTTACATAAGACATACAATTGTTTGATCTAATATAATACAGTATATTATGTCAATTTAGACATTTTTGGCATCCTATATACTAGGGCTGCATATGGGTTGTGTTGGTCAGGTTGAAGGCATTTGAACAACCCAACCCAATGTTTGCAATTTGAAAAATCTAAAACCAACCCAACCCAAACATTTTTGGGTTTTCTTGGGTTGGGTTGGCCGGTTTGGTCGGGCTGGTCGGTTTTCAAGCACCGCTACTATATACTCGGTTTTGTTGTAATCTAGTGAACGTTCTTTTTTAGGGGATTCGATCATTCAAACCATGGTTGTTGGATCGTAATGTTGCAGGTGATGCCGGTAATGAAGGTTCTAACGTTTAATGTGATTTGTTCACTTGTTCTCGGGTTAGAAGAGGGGACGATACGTGATAAACTCTTGTCGCTTTTCCAAGAAATGACTCGCGGGCTGCTTTCGGTGCCTATAAACGTGCCATTTACGCAATTCAATCGGAGTCTTAACGCTAGTTCACGACTGAAAACCATCATCATGGATCTTATCCGTGCAAAACGGTCGATCTTGGAGGAACAAAAAGCTTCGGGCCATCAAGATCTAATCACACATTTGATCAACGCCCAAAATGAGAACCCGAACTTGACATCTGACGATGAGATTGTGGACAACGTAGTCGGGTTGATGTTTGGAGGATACGATGCAACCTCGAGCCTCATAAGTTTCATGATCAAATTACTAGCCGAACACCCGACTGTATACAATAATGTTGTTCGTGGTAAGTGTTAGATACTACTGGAGTCTCCTAGACTTGAACCATTTGTTCTTAATATACGTTGAAACCTCTCATTCTTAAGATCGAGCCTCCTCAAGCTGTTATTTTTCAAGGCAGTGCAAATTGGACCTGACACGCACGGTTACAAAAAAAACCCTGACTACAACAAAATTGGGTTTATAGGACACTCTCAATCTCTAAGCGTCCCAATAGACCGTTTTATAGGACTTAATTTATAGGACCAATATATAAAGCATCATATCTAAATGTGTTGTAATAAGTTTATATGATGTTTTGGCTTTTTAACATGTTTTTAGGACATTTTTAATACAAAGTGTCATATTAGCAACTTTATATGACACTTTTGAGAAAGTGTCCTATAAACTCAATTTTTATAGGACATTTGTTTTTATATGACAGTTTTTCAAATAGTGTCCTATAAAGTTGCTAATGGGACGCTTTATATTAAAAGTGTCCTAAAAAACTTATTATGACGTAAAAAAAATGTCATATAAACTTATTACAACGCCTTTAAATATGACGCTTTATTTTCTTATAAAGTGGTCTATTAAGACGCTTAGAAATTGAGAGTGTCCTATAAACCCGATTTTGTTGTAGTGCCTCTTTTTTGGACAATAATCTGATGGGGTTTTCAGATATTTCATAGCTATCTCTAACCTACAAATCTTGAAATTGTAGAGCAAGACGGAATCGTCAGAAACAAGGCTCCCGGAGAGTCGTTAACGTGGGATGATCTTACGAATATGAAGTACAGTTGGAGAGTAGCAACCGAAGTTTTACGATTGAATCCACCGTTCTTCGGTTCTTTCCGAAAAGCCATCAAGGACATCGAATACAACGGTTATATAATTCCTAAAGGATGGCAGGTACATAAAAACCATTAAGTTAAAATTTTGTTTGTTTGACTTTCAGAAGTCAAACCTTGACTTTTATGTAGTGTTTGGTACGTAGACGGGATGAGACAGGACGGAATGGTACGGGACATGACGGGACTAATTGTCTATCCTATGTTTGGTACGACTAAGACATGACATGAGAAAACTATTAAAATGATCATATTACCCCTAAATGTTGTTCAATGTTATTTTATATCATATAATGATTGTAAAATGACAACAACTCAACCAAAATATTGTCATTTAACTTTAGTCTCATGTTGTTCCACCTTTTTTAATGGATCAATAAATATCAAGATTTGTCCCATTAAAATTAAAAATAGTCTCACATTGTTCCATGTTTTTTTTTTTGTCCATGGCATGCTAAACATGAGACTATTTTTTTTGTCCCGTTCTGTCTCATATAGTCTGCATACCAAACGCACCCTTAGTGTAGTCTGCATACCAAATGCACCCTTAGAGACAATTTTCTTGAAATCTTGAAAAAAGTGAACCCAAATGACTTCTTTTATGTAACAAACAGGTGATGTGGGTTTCAAGCATGACACACATGGATGGCAACATCTTCTCCGATCCATCGAGATTCGACCCAACGCGATTTGAGCAACAAACGACAAAACCGCCCTATAGTTTTGTGGCGTTTGGAGGAGGGGTAAGGGTGTGCCCGGGTGGCGAGTTTGCGAAGATGGAAACTCTAACCATGATCCATTACTTGGTGACACGGTTCACGTGGAAGCTGTCTTTGAAAGAAAACTCGTTCGGAAGAGATCCAATGCCCGTCTTTAACCAAGGTCTACCGGTCCTTGTTAGTCCCAGGAAACACTATCACTCAATGACATGATCGTCTTTAACCAAGGTCTTTGCATGTGGAACCCAATAACTGATAAACCAAATCAAATGAACCCAATATATCCTGTTTGAGATTTATGCAGACCTAAGGACCTCAATTTGTAGAGGTAAAGTGCTTGGGTGTATCTACTCGTAAGTCGATAACGTTACCATCACCTTTCTTTAAGCTAGTATTTTTTATATAAACCAGACCAAACCAAACGAGCCCAAGTGTTGTAGTCTCTTTGCATCTTCTCTTTAGGCTATTTCGGTTGTGTTTAACAAACTAATTGTAAGCTACAGTATAAGGGGAAATGTAAGATAACCTATATTGACGTGCTGGATAGTTACTCAATTCTAAAATATAAGGGGCATAATTGGAAAAAAAAAATGAACAAAACCCCAGAGCTCATTCAAAAGCTAGTTTTTTAAGAAGTTAGTTTATGCATTAGGGGCTGTTTGACAATTACTGAATGGTTTGGTGCAGAATGATTAAGTGGTCAGAATGATTAAGAGGCTCTCATGATATAGTGCAAAATGAAATATAATTGTTTGGTAATTGTGTACCATGAAATTAGGGCTCTTAATGGTTAAGGGAGATCCAAGATACAAAATCATTCCGAGGGTTTTGAAACCATTAAGAGACAAACTTTTTTTTGCCAAACAAGATTCATCTCTTAACGATTAAGATATTGTCTCTTAATGGAACTATTAAGAGGTAAACAAACAACCCCTTACTGAACAAGGGTTTTTCATTAAGTTCAAGATATAAACTAGCTTATGGTTGCTAAACATGAGCCTCAAATTATGATTGCATATTGAATCAGATTGACCCAATTTTTGTTGAAAAACTATACATGATAGGGGATAATGGTCGGCCATGCTTACTATTTCCTCGAAGATGTGTAGCCAAGAATGGCGGGTTGACGGTTCTTAAGGACCCCATCATTTGTTAAATAGCTTTTCGCTGATGAACCTTGTCGTGGTGGTCCGACTTGCAGATGTGAGATTGTTGCAGATGAAATTATTGAAATTGTAAGAAAGGTCAAGTTTATTGTAATTTTCTTTGCATGGTGTAGAGGTACTGATTTTTTTTTTTTTGGAAAAAGGGGATATAACTGATAGTGTCTCACGTTTGTTAGACTTGAACTATTTCTTCTCAATATATTTTTTACTCAAGGGCTCTTTTTGAGAGTAAAATTTGGGGTTAACTATTTTGATTTAATAATATTTCTTTTTTTTTGCATTTAATATTTAAAATATTTATGAATATATGTAATTAGATGTGGAAGTAGAAGCACAAAGGGGATCCGTGGCGCAATGGTAGCGCGTCTGACTCCAGATCAGAAGGTTGCGTGTTCGATTCACGTCGGGTTCAAATCCCTTCAACCCCTTACCAATTTTTTGTTGATATTATATTTTACTCCCTTTAACTTTCATCTGATGTCGTTTTCTACCCTCATCTATGATTTCTAGGGGTGAGCATAGGCGGGTACCCACTCTTTTTGACAAAAACCGGAATCGGCGGTTCTTGAGATATTGGAACCGGAACCGGTTAGAGCGGTTCTTAAATTTTTGGAACCGGAACCGCCGGGAACCGGTTCCGGTTTCGGGTACCCGCTTTCTAAAATATTAAAAATTTGTTATTTAGAAATAAAAAATAAAACATTGCCAAAACACTAAATAAATAAGCAAGAATACAAATTATACAGAATAATTGTTACAAATATTGATTAACGATTACAAAACATAATAGACTAATAGAAAATGTTCAAAGTTTAACGATTACATACTATAATGGTAATTGTTCAAAGTTTAACGATTACATACTATAATGGTAATTGTTCAAAGTTTAACGATTACATACTATGAATCCAAGTGAACACACAATTTAAAAAAATACGAATCATTTTATATGAAGAATTTAGATGAAGATTGAAGATGACGACGTGCTTTTAAGACGTAAACCTAATATAAATTTAGTATTAAAAAATAATTATTATTTTTTTATTGAAAAATACCGGGTACCCGGTGGGTAACAGTTCCGAAAAATTAAGAACCGGAACTGGAACCATTCTCAATCGGTTCCGTATTTTAGGAACCGGAACCACTCATATCGGTTCCGGTTCTGGAAGCGGCGGTTCCAAGGCAGTTCCAGTTCTATAGTCTGGTACCCGGTTTCGCTGCTCACCTCTAATGATTTCATCTTAAATCTAACCATAAACCAAATGAACAAAATCTCAAAAAAAAAAATTACATTCATCTTTAATAGATTTCTTATTTTTGGAGAATCTAATATTGATTATAATATTAAAATATTATATTTCTTTCTAAATATTTATTTTCAAAGTATTTTATTACTTTCTTCATTTTGGAGATAGTTTTGAGAGAACTATTGCAGCAAAATATTGACTCAAAATCCCCATTTTTTCCATTTTTCCTGTGGGAGAAGCTCTTAGAGATGATCTAAGAAGGGATCTCCACCCTTGAATGTACATTAAGATAAAATATGACTAGATCAATCTCCATATCAAACATGATTGATGGTGGGTTTGAGATTAATAGTAATCAAGCGTCCAAATCCCTTCTTATGTTTTTCATCTCAACTCTTTTTTCTCACACGATCTTTCACCGTTACAAATATATCCATTATCTTTCTTTTGGTGGTGTTAAATTTATATATAGTTTTAGTTATTTTATTAAATTGTCTGAGGGTTATCATTTGTTTTTTCGTCACCTACTACAATAATTATCCTTCTGCCATAAGATCAACAACCAATGATTTTTTTTACATATTTTTCTTATCCAATGTAATTAATTAATACATATTTGGATTCTTAGGGCTTGTTTGTTTTTTTTAAAAAAAAGCTCTTAATACCTCTTAAGTCTGAATCGGTCAGACGTTTTTATTTTCAGACCGTTTGATTTTTTTGAAAATAAGAGCTGAAAAGCTCTTATTGTCCTCTGAATTTTTAAGTGGTAGTCTAAACTCTTAATGGACTCTTATTCACACACCATATCGATCTCTCGTTCTCTCGCTTGATTTCCAGCTACCAAATCATACCGATCTATTCCACATCATACGATCTAGACACCATATCAATCTCTCGCTCGGTCTCAAGCTACCGATCTATCCAAAACGATCTCTACAAATCGATCTCTCCTATATATGAGTTATTTTATGAGTATGATCAAACCAATGAGCAAAGGATGATGGCGACACAATTAATGCAATATGAATATTGGTTMTAGTCGTTATGAGACTTTTTTCGYRKTTATATTGATTCAGATTTCAGACTTCAGACGTAAAAACAAACAGTCTGACTGATTCAGATTTCAGACTTCAGCACCACCTCTTATAAATCAGAAGTGAAATCAGACTTCAGCACATCTTAAAAAACAAACACCACATTAGTATAATGTCAAATTCTTTTTGGATCATATTAGATACTAACAAATTGTCTCTTTTATTTATTAATTTTTTTGAACTACTAATACAATGCTATATAGTATATAAAAATTAATTAATTATTTTTTAATTAAAATCACAATTAAAAAGACAAAGAAAAACTACAAAAAAGATTAGTAAATTGTCTCACATTGGAATAGAGATGATAAACAAAGGGAGAAAAGATGTATAAAAAGAGAGAGGGAGGTGATGGAATTTTTAACTTTGTCTTTTTCATGATAAAGTTTGAAGTTGATCCCTTTAGTTTTATAAAAACTAAGAGAATACCTTTAAGTTTTAAAATTTATAAGAGAAATATCCTAAAATTTCATAAATTTTAATGGGTGAGTTTGGTTCGAATTGGATCTGAGTTCGAGTTCGAGCTTGATTCGAGTTCAAATTCGAACTTGATTTGAGTTGTAATTCGTGCTTGTTTCGAGCTTGATTTGAGCTCGAGTTCGAGAAATAGTTATCGAGTTCGAGTCGAGCTTTGATTTTTACTACTCGTGAGTTTTCGAGTCGAGTTCGAGCTTGAAAATTGGGTTTTGAGTTCGAGTCGAGTATAGTAATACTCGAGCTCGACTCGCATCATTTACACCCCTACCCCCATATTTTCATCCCCATTAACTCTCCAGCTCGACACACACATACACATGTATACATATATAACCGATAAAAAGAGGTGGCATACTAAAAAATGAGTATTCTTCATTTGTTGAAATGTGGTTGAATTTTGTGTATCCCACATTGATAGAAAGATAAAAGGTTGACAATGATCCTCTAAACTTACGTTGTTGGCTCATTTTGGTCGACCCTCTGTATTTTTAGCGAAAAAGTTAACCATACAAAATAAAAAATATAAAAAAATCTTTATAAGAATTAAGTATTTTAAATTTTTTAAGTATGACGTGATTTTGGTTATCTCACGTTGATGAGAAATCTTTAGTTTAAAGAACTGATATGAGTATAAAAGGTTAAAGTATTTCTTTAAATCCAGAATTTCATGTTCAAATACAAAGAGGAACAAAAATCCCCTTGTAGCCATGGGAGGTTCAAATGCGGTGACTCCGGGCTATCTGCAAAGCAGGTGGTCGTCCTGGAATTGGTCGGCTCGCATAGCGGTTTGGATATACAGGTTAATCAAAAAAAAGTATTCCTTTAAAAATGAAAATGTTAGTTGCTAAATGACTATATTCATTTTGCAAAACCTATTTATATGAAATCTTTATATATAAAGAAAAAAAAAATGGAAGACATATGATGAAAGATATTATAGATGTAAGTACTTTTTGGTTCAGAAAATATTTAGAGACTTAATCGTTCAAAATATGAAAGTTCATTGGTTTTTTTTTCTTCTGATTATTTTCATTATTTTACCACATTAATCAGTTATATAGGTTATAAGGATGTATCTAACAAGTTTTAGAAAGTCCAAGGAGTTATTTAACAGGGTTTAAAATATCGAAGAACTTTTTTGTTCCAAAAAATTGTTCACAAACTTAATCATTTCAAATACTAAAGTCTATTGTTTTTTATACTCCTTTGTAAAAATGAAGTTACGTTTATCTTGAATTTTTAAGAGGTATAACAAATTATAGTGGACAATCTCTTAAAGTTACACAATATCACACAATCTTTCATATATTAAAAATTAAATAATTTTTATTTCTAAATTACAATTTATATCATTATAATTAGTTATTTAATTTAATTTATATTATATTCCCTTTATTTTCATATTTCAGTTTATCTTTTTATCATATCAATATAAATAATGGTATATGAACTAAAATTCATTAAAAATACCTTTTTTTTACAAATTATACCATTGTAACGTCAATTCCTTCAAAATGAGTTCAATATTGAATAATTTATTTAGATTTAAGGGACGTTTACCAAACACTTACCCTGTAAGTACTTACCGGTAAAATTTAACATTGTTATTTACTTACCGGACAATGTTCTAATCCATCAAAACGACATTGTATACAAAACGACATTGTATGCAACGATCACAGAAGACTTCAAGTCCCGAATGATTGTTGACATGCACTTGCGGCCAAAAAATGTTTGCGCGATAGTGACATTGCACCATCGCAAGCAAAGCCCGAGTATAGAAGCTACATAATTTTAAAGGCTTGGAGATTTTTGGAAACTAAGCTTAGACCATAGATATTTTAGAGGCTTTTGATTTTTAAATTACTGGGATCGATATTCATACTTCCTACGTATTACTTGATTGACACCATACACTCGAAGCAGATGTTCGCACAAATCGCCTATCATCCATTATATCCCACGTAAAAACAGGGACGAGGGTGACGAGGGTGGATGTTTAAAGACCTTACCCTGTCCTAGACGGGATAGAGGTTATTTATGTGGAAACCCCTGACTTGCAAAACAATCACTTGCTACTTCGTTGAGGAAATACATAATCGAATAAGCCAAACGCAAGAAGATTAAGAAACTTGACTTCAGTTTATCATATCCTTTTAATAGAAAACCTAGTACAACTATAATGTCAACAATCATAAATTCCAAAAAGAATTCTCAGCTATTTTCTACCTATTCCTAAGTCATGTTTGTTTTTATGGCTCAAAAAACCAAACCGACACATTAAATCTCACTCGAAAGTAGGGTCTAAGAAAGTGAGATGTGCACAAACCTGACCTCTACCCCAAAAAAGTAAAGCGGTTGCTTCCATGAAGATCCTGACTTGTGCAAGAGTGTGTTTGTTTGCATGGTTCAATAGTGAAGCAAAACTCATCTACTATTTACACGCATTGAAAAATGGACCTACAGATGGCAACAACATACCGGTTTCCATGGGAGAAGATACTATCTGCCAGGGTGGAACTTGCTTTCAGCATTCGGATTAGACATTCTTTTGGATGAAAATTGATCTGCTCTTCAGATGTTGTCTACTATAAGCTGCAGTGGAGGCCAATGTTGTTGAAGCCACTAACCAACTGCATTGAACCAAAATAGAAAGCTTTAGCAATCGTATTTTAGCATAGAAATTACTCCCTCCGTTCCAAAATATGTGTTCACATTTCTAAATAAGCAGCCGTCTACCTAGTACTTATCGGGTAAGTGCTTACCGGTATTACTTACCTTACCAATTAAGCATGACAGAATTGACACTTACCTGGTAAATGAGGGAAAAAAACTCTTACTGGTAAGTGCTTATCAGGTTTAAGACGCTTAACAACAATCCATTCTGATGGCCAAGAATGTTACACGATAAGGTAAGCGAGAGTGATATCTCTTGCTTGTCAGCGCTTATCTGATAAGCGTTTGGTAAATGGCTCCAAATCTCCATTTTTAAAAGTCAGTGACGAGTTTCCAGTTCTACCCTTAATATTTTGAGATGGAGAAATTCATCATTCCCTTTATTGTTAAAAAGTAAATTGTCATTAAGTTAATACCAAAAACGTAATAATTACACATTCGTGGTATTTGGGATGGAGGGAATAAGATGAAGGAAATCCGAATGGAGTAACAAAAGTACCTTAGGTATGTGATGTATGACTCGGTTTCTGGAGTACCAAACTCGGGTTGCAGAAGAGCAGCCGTAACCAAGGCTAGTTGGAAGCAGGTATTAACCTATGATAAGAAAGCAATTAGCAAATCAAAATTGCGGAAGGTTTCAGTATTCATCCACCAAATGATTAACGTGCCTACAAAATGACCAAATGTTCAGACATGAGGTGCAAAAAGTATTTATCAAGTAAATTGTTGATCACTAGCAATCATTAGAAGACATTGGTGAGATTGATTGTGTTCCACACATTTCCTAAAATTTATTTTATGAAAGGGTATTTTAGGTAAGTGAATATTAGGTGAAATTTATTTTATGGAAGGGTGTTTTAGGCACCAAAATAGGTGGAACAAAAACCAGGGAGATAACAATAAGATTGGTAAATTACTGAACTACCCATGTCAAATTTAAACCCTACAACCTCATAGATGATTAAACATTGAACTACTCAAGGTCACTCTGATATTATATTATTCAGCTATATAAAATACAAGTGAAGATAACAGGTAGGCTTTTGGCGCAGATATCATAGCTCACAAAGTTCCTTAACTCCAAGGACACTTGATATGGGATAACATATGCATATTATACTGCATATAACGCACTAAACTAGATGAAGACATCCAGTAGGAAATTAATTTGAGACCACCTTCATAGCCTTTGCCTTTTCCATAATGCAACGAGGTTTTGAGGAGCCTCAGACGGAAGGGGTTGGGCGACATACATGCTCTCTTGTAACAGAGAGCACAAATAAGATTTTAATGTAATTCAACATATAATCGAACTCCTATCAGCCTATTATCCATAATATATAGAGAAAGAGGCAGGAAGAAGTTCCAAGATCACATGTGATACAAACATATTGCATTGACTGACCAAAGAGCGGGCGACCTTTCCTGCGACCCTTGGTCGCGTTGACCAAGTTGCTCTGCGTACCTTTGGACATGTTGCATCACATGTGATTTTACTTTGTAATCACATGTGATCTTGAAGCTTCACCTTCTCGTTTGATCCTGCCTCTATATATATGTATACATTACCAAGGGACTGAGAGCTATGAGATCAATGTACAATGAAGGTAACTCCGAAACTAATGGTCCAGAAAATCTAACACTATTAAACTTTTGATATCCTGAAACTTCTTTTAAAGTGTTCAAATCATGTTTAAAAGGGAAGAAAAAAGTGAGATCACAGAAAACATGATGTTTACCTTACTGATCATCAAAGGCTCAACTTTCTGCGGGCGGATCCCATCAAGGTTGAAGAACTCTAACCAGGTCCTTGACTATTGCAAAATATACAAATAAGAAATGTGAATAAACACAGAGAGACAACCCAATAAATTGCTCAATTCACTTGAAGAACCCACCTCTGAACCTAAGTGACTAGCTCTTATATACACTGCGCCACCAACTAGAGCAAGATCTCGCATTACAACAAGTGCAACCAGTCCTGCTGCAAAATTATGAAACAAATTAAAACGTTGCCACCTGAATCCTGATGGCATAGAACATATCACATTTTTCCATGTGTATATGAACAATTCCTCAAAATTATAAAGTAAGGTGCTTATTACTAAGACGCCAAATATTTTCTATTTTTTTGCTTTGGACATAAGATGACCCATCTAAAGTTTACAAGAAAAACTGTGATTTAGTGAACTGCAATTAAGAATATCATGGCTCTTTTGAGCTGTGCAGCCTCTATTTTAGTGATTCGAAGATGGTCAGTTCCTTCTAGTTTTAGTTTCGAAATTGGTTCTTAAAACATTTCAGTTTTGCACATCGCACTTCTAGAATACACCAATATCCTAATTGTAGCATTCATGTAGTTAACTGGATTCAAAGAATGCACAACTTGATCAATTAAAAGGTAGATGGTAAGATCTTAAGCACAGGTGTAAATCTCTAAAGCATTATGCAACCTCAAGATCATAACTGCAATTTACATCACTCTACTAAGAAGAGTTCAAGCTCCACCATCCTCAAACTCCATGCATGTGTGTAGGAAACAAATTTGCTTGCAAATGAATAGAAGCGCTGACATACACTTCATCAAAGCATGATTATCAGGTTAATTAAGAGTGACTGCCAGGATAGTTACATAAATTGGTTCAAGATATGATGACTATCAGGTATGCTGCTACTTTTTGGTTATCATATGCACAAGACCAACCATACAAGTGTATATAGTAGATACACAAAAAAAGAGATGGAGGCCAATAATCATTATTTTTAAATAAAACTACACATTGCTAACTTGCTATGTAATAGTTGGGCGTTTGTATATGGTAATATGATAGAGGTGTTGAGTGGTGACCATGAAGTTGTAATGAGTGGTAACGGGTTGGACATGTTGCAGTAGTAAATGTCAATGAACCATGAAGACACAGTTGGAATGCAGAACCTTTCTACATATGAGTCTTGACATTTATATAGTTTTCGCTAGGATGGAGGATACCAACATCCCTCTAAGAGTGAGATGGAAAAGGTAAAATGAATCTGCGAACACAATTATAATATTTGTGATGTCTACGCTGGTTCAAATCCAGCTCAGCCCAACAATTCGCCAATATACCATGAGGGGAGAGAACAAGATCGCAAACTCATTAGAATCCATTGCTCCAAAATATGGCAAATGTAACTTCCATTAACATGTGGCAAGTACATAATAAATATTCTGCAGCTCATGGCATCAATCTGGTATTCCAGGCACATGTCAGGACACACTACTACTATCATAAAAGGTACACGATTGACCCTATTGAGGTCTACATTAACATAATTCTTTGGGACATCAGGTGTGCATGTGGTGAGAGATGGTTAGTGAACGGAAGAGAGATGGAGTACGAACAGAGAACATTTACCAAATACCTTAAGACATATACGAAAACAAACATGAAAGCTGAAACCATACTTACAGTGCAGAAGACCCCTTTCTACCATGGCCAAGGCAACACATCCAATTAGAACCTGTATTAACAAGTTTCCATAAGATCAGAGTCATAATCTAACCACTGAAGAGTTTGATATGCATCAGAACATACATATTACTATCTGTTGTTGCTTATGAACCAACCATTATTACCATCTCTTGAAAGAGCTAAATGAAAGCACTTACTTTGTCGGCAAGAGGATCAAGGTATGAACCAACCACAGAATTGATTCCCATCTTTCTGGCAACATATCCATCTAACTGCAAGAAGAAACAAAATTAGCAGTATGAATTTTTGGATGTGCCAGCTACCAGACATGAAAAGGTCTCGAAAGTCATACCCAGTCAGTTGCCCCAGAGACAACAAGCCCAACAAATGCAGGAAGATACATATCGTGCATGATCATCCTGCATTTATTTAAAGAATGAGCCAGAAATCTAATATAATGGTTACATTCACAAAATGATACTATACAACACTCCATGGATGGGAGCAACTGGCTGGCACTCGAAGGACCACTTCTGAATGACTAAATCAAGGAAAACTTTGATCATCTCCAAGTTACGTAATCAATGCCTTCATGGCATACACATATTCCAAGACATCCAAGTCTCCAGGATTCCCACCATGAGGGGGAAAATGATTCATCTAACGTGTCATTGCATGCAAATTACAGCTAGATTCTACAAAACAGGACGCAATAGATAAGGGAACATAATCAGCTATCATTCTCTTTAAGGAATTTCTAAATAAACGATGCTCTTAGACATGTCTAATCGATCTAAAACTAGATTACCTAGCTAGTAAAAACTATCAAAAGGAGGAGAAGATGCCATATCTAAATGATGATCTAGCCAATTTGTGGGATTTAGCCTGTAGACCAAGAAAACCCAACAAAATAACCATCGTTTCCACAAAACTACAATCTTATTTCCTATTCACAACCACCAGAAAATGTGTGTTCCGATGTATTTCCTGAGAAATGCTACAGTTTCTTGTACAGAAAAATAGAACATATTCTGAACTGTGGCTATATTATTTCAAAACTAATGTTAACCTTGTGCAGTGTAAGCACACTTTGTTTTTAGTTTACAGTTTCTGAAAAGGAAACATGCTAGGAAAATTAGAATCTTGAATGGCATGATCCATTATGTCCGTCAGATTCCAGTGCCACACCACCAAACACTTGATTGTACCTAAAAAAATGAATCACTTCTGTGTGTGTACTTGTTCTTAACTTAAAAAGAAATAAGAAAAATGTGTTACAAATTTTAGCATCTTCTTGAAATACCTGTGATTGATTTGTATATTGATTCCATTAAATGGTTCAAATACACAAATAAGCACACAGCCACTGAAAGAAACTACTACATCCCCAATACATAACTTCTCATGTTTATGTAACCTCTTTCCATTCCAACATTTGCATCCCCTTTGCAAACAATAAATAACACATATAAATGATACCACCCTAAGTTCACTTCTAACAGTAATCTTCTTGATTTCAAGAAAGTGGATTCTATCCGTTGGGAGAAAGCTATGAATACGCACCAAATTATACATACTATGTTTCTCATTTATCTCACAGAATAAAGTAACAGTTATAAAAAGAGAAAATGTGCAACAACTACTTTACCAAATCCCCATGTACGCAAATAAAATAGACACAGAAACAGAGAATTAGCTAGGAACTGAAGCATATACCATCCAAGCACGGGGCCAGAAACCAATCTACTCATAGAAATCATATTAGGCCAATTAACGAAACTCTCCACCAATCCATCATCGCCGCCTCTTCCAACGGTCTCCGATTCCTTCCCATTAACCAAATTTCCCTCCGATATTAACCCTAATTTTAGCGGGAACTTACGTTCCCGAATCAAGTCAAAAGCCCGTATTTTAGGGATGGCAACGACGTGGGATTGGAAGTATAGAGGGGTGGCGGATTGTAAAAGCATCCATGGAGGATAAGAGAGGAAAAGTGGGCCATGGAATGGGTAGTCCGACTTAGATATTCTAGGAAATAGCGAGTTCGAAGAACGAGAGAGGAAGATCGAAGACCTTAGGGATCGCAAAGATGTGGGATTTGGAGTGGAGATGAAGAAGCTCCTGCTCCTAGCGTCAGAGGTTTTCTGGGCAAGTTTCCTGAGTGATCTGAGAATGGCCATTGATGGTGGCGCATTGAAGGTAGGGTTTTATAGTTTGACGACGAAGGAAGATGGTTGACACGTGGGAAGAGATTTACACGTGTCGGCTCAGACATGTATAATCTAATTAACTCAAATTGTATGAGTTTATTAATATTTTAATACGTTAAAATATTTTTTTAATTTTTATAATAAAATTATTATAATTTTAATAGAGTAAATAAATAGTGATTGTTTATTTTACGGTTAATTTTATTGAATTTAATATTAAATATTTTTTAATTTAATAATATTATTAAATATCATAATACGTACGAATTAATTTGTTTTATAATTATATATTTTCATATTATATATTTATGTATCTATATTATATTATAAAATCGTGTTAAATTTGCTGAATTTTTAAGACGTAAAAATCTTGAGGCATCATGTACAAGTTTAAAAGTTTGATATCCTCTCACGTTCAACAAGATAATTAAAAATAAGATTATTTTTTATTTTCAAGTTACACTTTATACCATTTTAATTTTCTTTATATCTCTTCTTTTTTTATTTCTCATTTTACATCTTTATCATATTAATATATATAATCATGTATTAACTAAAATACATTTTTTTTTATAAATTATATAATTATAATCGTCTCATCAGTACCTTCAAAATAAGTCCAATAAATACATAATGGATTATTTTTATTATTTTAATTTTTCATTTTTGATTTATTAACCCATCATGGTCAACATCCGTTTCTAAGGACATACATTAAGAAGGTTATGGTAGTTATAGCCACCAGGGAAGTATCTCAACGTTGGTGCCCCCAATGATGAGTCAGTAACCGAGTCACAATGGACCTTGCTAAAAATTATCAAAAACTGATAAGGATCACTTTTAAACTTCCATGTAGCTTATGGTCAAAGAAAGCATCAGTAAAGTTCGTGATTCAATCATCAAATTACAAGCAAATAACTTGAGTTGATAAACATTTACTATGGCAAGCACAATCAATTTCAAGTGTTCAACGTATCAAGGATTCTATAGTTGAATAAACTTGTAAAGGTAAACTACCGAGCTACTAACCACCTATCGGGGGACCATAATCACATCATTATGACACCAAATGGCGTGACACAATCAGTGGTCGTGCGATCAGTCGATGACATCTCCTTTCGAATTTTGTGCTCTAATGGAGCTGACCATGGTGTTAACGGTCACATTATTCAGAAAGCGTATGGGTCAGCCCTAGCATATTTGATTTGTTTGTATGGTGGATGGTGGCGTAGTGTCAACACCACATCTCACTTTTTTTAGTACAGTCGAATGTGCATGTCCAATGTATATGCACGTGTGGATTACGTCTGATACTTGTGTATATGTTTACGTGTGACATGAAACACAAGCGTATGCGATTATTTGTTCGAGCTCGATATACAATATGGTATGACTTTTATTTAGGCTTTTCAGTTTCGTTTGATATGTTGCGGTCAGTATTTGTTCAAATTTGACTGTTTTGATCTTTGACAAGATTTACTATTTTGATTTAATGAATTTGGATAAATTCATTTTGTTATGGATTGATTAAGCATGTTACAATTGATTCGTTCGATCTAACTGTTTTTCAGTTTTATTTATCTTGTTTGTTGACTTTTCTGTACGTTGTCGTTGAAGTTGCGTGTGATATATGTTATACTCAATTTGGTTCCATGTACACTTGGAAATTCGAGTTTTGTCTTTGAAGTATGCTCGTTGTCCAAATTTAGATTTATGTTGCATTCGACTGTGGTTCGATTATTTATTTTGTTATCTTTGTAACCGCATACTGAGCTTTTGACTCGGCCTCATTTGTTTCTTCGTTGCAACATTTTATAGCCAACAGAAGGGGAGAATGATAACTTCAAAAGATCACATAAAATCACAACAATCTCCGGCAAATACACGTCTGGTGACATATTCCACTGAATATTCCAAAAATCAACAGGTGTCCGATGCAACACCACTCAGCAATATCTACATTCTTCCATATCTGACTTTAATCCCAAAGTCGGTAAACTAGATTGTTTTCACTTTCAAACTCCGTAAAATAAGAAATATATAAAATAGTAATGAAAAATACTGAAGTCATCCATTTAAGGATGTAAAACGCAAGAAAAAAAATGGGGTCATTATGTTATATTTCAGTCTCCCGAAAGGACATATTTAGTTATATAAACTTAATTATGTTCTTAACTAAATCCATGTAGACGATTAAAACCAACTAAAAAGTAGAACCTCGTAATGATGGCAAGCTTTTTTGTTTAGTAAGAACATCTCTTAACGTATTCTAGTTTGGATAATTTGTTGGAGATGCTCTAACAATACTCGGTTTTCACAACAGGTTTTCGGTTCAAATCCAGCCATGTCCACCTAGTCCTAACCGATATTGTGGGGGCGCTTTGTAGAGTATCACAAACTTTTTTTCCGAAACAACAAGACATTTGTGTCACTGTATATACCAAAGATAAACGTGTTTCCGTTGTTTAAAGACAGGAATTTTTTTTCCAATGATGATCGATCCATTACTCCGAGAGAGAGGAAGTACCCAATGAAAGGCTTATATCAAGCCATAGCGGTTGGAGTCCAGACCATTTGGGATTTTCCTAGCTGTTCTCCAGGCTCCTTGAGCCGAGGTGGGCATAAACCGGCCCGAATACCCATAGTTGGCAAAAGAAAAGCATTCAATCCATATTTGCAGCATAGCACGTGATGCAAAAAAAACGTCTGGGATTGGACCATAAGATTTATTTCGACATATAACATATATAAACATCATGTAAGGTTATATATATACCTCTTAGTTTTACTACTTCATCTGTATTCTCTCGGTTTTTCTTTCATATTCATTTGTGAATATACTCATAATTTGTGGTTTTCGATTTACAAGATTGAATCAAAGCATTCGAGGGAGATGACACGAGTACCTCATTGTTCGATGAGCAGCAAGCGCTTGTTGTAAAGCAACATCAACTCTAGCTCCCCCCAAGTGTATCAAATCATACAGTTGACGGATGAATTTCGCGAGCTCTTCCTCATCATCGTCATCCCAAATCAGCATCCCTCGATCTGCACCTGGAGTTGTTTCAATATCTTCCCAATCGCTCATGGGGCTCGTGGCCCCCACATCTTCATCTTCGACTTCATCCACTCCGATCTCAAATTTCGCGCTATCCGCTTCATTTGTCTCGCAAGATCCATGGAATGATGTTAACTGTGTTTCATGGGGATCGGCTGAAGGGCATATAACAGCTTTAGCACCTGAGTCTAAGAATGCCTTTATTAGAGATGGCGATGGGCCATATAAACCGGTGTATATTATGATTCGATCCCTCCAACCACCAACCTGCAAATTTGCATTGTTATTTAATGAATAAGAATACCACAAGATACCATAGTCATAACCGGTTTAACTCCTCTCAAGACAAACCGGAGTTTTTCCTGGCTATTAACTTCAAGACCCATGGGATTAGTCGAGGTGTGCACAAGCTGGCCCAGACACCTACGGTTAGTTATTTAAAAAGAAGACAGCACAAAGACTACAAAAGCCAAGTAATTTTTCCACCATTATGCTTCAGTAGCTCAAATTCTATGCCTTCATTCAGGGCACACAAGTGATGGTAGCAGGCAAAGGCAAAAATGGGTAACATCATATGCAACTATACTGTATATTACTGGTGATGAAAGAAAAAGAAATAACATATTATTCGGTTGAAGTTGACCCCTCCTCTACCTTTACTATGTTATAAAGGATTTGGTTAAAATTCTTAAAAACAACTTATTCAAAATTTTGTACTGTTTATTAATGCATAAGCTCTTAAATTTCAAGTTTACAAGTACATCTTAAGACTTCATGTTCGGATAAACTAACCGATAACAAATGCTAATCATGTTCGATACGTGTTTATGCCTACTAATACCTGCTTATCCCTACTAATACTCCATAAATATCTGATTTTCCTTTTCAATGAAAATTGCATTATTTTTTAATTCTCGATTTACAACAAAATTTTGCTTTTCTTGGCATTGAACGGATACACACCTAGTGCGTGTGTATAGGGGGCAAATCATATAGAAACCTATGTTGTTTCATAGATGAAACAACACATGTGAACATGTAGTGTTCACACAATGTTGTTTCATAGATGTATTCATCAAGGAATGTTTTTCGTGTGAAAAAAGAAAAAGCACAAAAATACGTTTATAGATGAAACACATTTGACTCACACAAAAGACAAAACATGTGAAAAAAGAAAAGAAAAAAAAAACACAAAAATACATTTATACATGAAACACACATTTGACTCACACAAGAACAAAACATGTGAAACAATATGAATCATAGTTTAAATTCAAACTCACCGGATGGTTTTGGTTGATTTTTGTGGGTTTGATTTTCACATGTGTTGTTTCATCTACGAAACTGGTTTTCATGGCTTCTATTAGAGAGAGGGAGAAAAGTAATGTTAGAATTTCTTTCTTAAATTAAGTTTAATTATAACATACTCATAGTAAAAAATAAATAAATTAAAATACTAATTTATAAGTTATATTTAAAAGAATTATATGTAAAATCAACATGCCATTTTAAAAATATATATACATATCGTTAAACAAAAAATCATTTTTAATTTTGATATATACACAATTTAACATATCATTTATTTTTATTATTTATTAGAAGTTATACCCACACTATGCACGGGTAAACTACAAGTTCATATAACTCAAATGCTGAATATTGTTCATGGTGGCATTTTGTTCCGAAGTTTTGAACAAGAAGTGTCAACTACAACATGTTTTCTCTTTGTTTCACATTTACGCTTCCATAGTTTATCCTACATTGCACATTCTTGCAAAAGATCGATGGTTAATTTGCAATTAAAAGTGAAACACTCATAATAGCCCACATCAACCTTCATAACCAATTCGCAAGCCGGGGTCGTCATGTAAACAACCTTTTTACCCTTTGGGTAAAGAAACGGCTGCTTACATCTTACCCTCCCTAGACCCCACTTCGTGTAAGATTCACTGGCATCGTTTGGTTTGGTTTGGTTTGGTTTGGTTTGGTTTGGTAACCTTCATAAATCAAACCAAAGCAAATGCACCCGGTCAATCCCACACATAAGTATGGTCTTGGGTAGGAAAGATAAACTACATCAGATATCAGGTATCGAACCTAAAACATACCATCCAACGTACATCCGCAGGACTCAAGTGCATAAATGGAACTGTCCTGTGAAACATGTAAGCTGCAATTTCTTGATCCTCTTCAATGACCTTCATTCAACCAGTAAAATACAGATCATGAAAAAAAGATTAAAAAAATCAAATGGAAGGCACAGGCCTCAGAAGCATACCTGCGTTTGGCGTCCTATGTACCGATGTACAACAACTCCAATCTGGAAGCATGGCCTACAAGCAACCAAATCAGCAACAGTAGAGATGTTTGAAATCTCTGACATGTATCTCCTACGCCGGCCTCTCAACATTGACAGAAAGTTATATTTCACATTTTGCAGAAACTTCTCTGCAAGTTCACTCGGTTCAGCGATCACGTAAACATCATTTTGCCAACTGGAAAAATAAAGATACAGCAGGTTAGATGAAGAACTAAGACATATATTATGGAAACAGCAGAAATTTCAAAGAAAGGAAAATAGCCGAAATCTGACTAAAACCATCAAACATGTTCCCCCAAGAGATATCTTGTACAACTATCGAGAATAACCTTCTGACAGATTCTTGTTAAATGCATGACCTTGACAGACTCATTTTAAATGCTTGACCTTCTGTCAAATTTCGAGGCATTCTTTGTTAGGAAAAGACATTCTTCTGTTAGGCATAGGCGTTCTTAAATTTGTCAGAAGGTTATTCTCTAAAATAACCCATTTGAGGACTATAACGACCTTCTGCCAGACTTTGAGGCATTCGTGTTTTCGGAAAATGCATTCTTCTAGGCAGAGCCGTTCTTAAATCTGTCAGGAGGTTATTCTCCAAAATAACCCCTCGAGAACTATATATTTCAATTATTCAATTCCACCTATTTTCTTGAGAGTTGAGACGATTATTAAACAGTTCTCCACAATGAAGAATGGTTGGTGAAGGAAGAAAAAACTGACCTCAATACTGAGCCACTTGTATCATTTTGAAGAGCTAAGTGCACAACTCCAACCCGTGGTGAATTTTGTAACTTCTCGTGCAACAACCGAATAGGCGTTGAAAGCTGTCTAGGTGCTGTTGGCGATTCTGGGGGGGAGGGATATTTTGCAGTATAGTTCCCATCCAGACTTAAATGTGGTATTATATCAGTTCTGCCAGTCCTATGAGTCGCTAGATCACAAAGTGGGCTTGATGGGAAGCTTCCGGAGAGCAATGGTGATGAAAATGGGGAAGGAAATGATGTTCCCGGTACTGGCTTAAGTGTTCCTGATGTCGCATCCACAAGAGATATTCTTATTCCATTGCCACAACAAAATCTCTCAAGTGATTGAACATGGTTAACATTTCTTCGAGGATCTGGACTATTAGAGGCCTTCACTAGTAGCACGTTGCGCCTCCAACCTAAAGAGGGTCCATTTTCACATGTTGCTGCGGAATATGATAATTTGAGGTCAAAATCATGGAAGCTTTTAGGAGATGGTTATAAAGAAATAAAGCAAACCAAACGAACCTAGTATATTCCACTAAGAATTAGGGTATGGGGAGAAGGGTAGGATGTACACAATGGTGATAGAGAAATGAGAAGTGGAAAAATTGGTTCAACCAAGCCAAGGCACTATTTGTCCTATCTTACTAAGGCTATGTTTGGCAAACTAGCTAAAAAGCTACTTGTTGGTTGATCTAGCTGTTAGTTGAAAAACTAGCTTATAAACTAGTCATGTGTGGTAAAAACTAGTTGATAAGCTAGATGACAATGTTAATGACCTAAAAGGACATGCTGAAAAATTAAATGGAAAAATATAAGAGGCATAATTGGAAAAGAAAATTTTATAAAAAATTCCTAGAGCTTATTGAAACACAACTTAAAAGTAACGTTTCAAAGAGCTAGCTTATGGCTAACCAAACGAGACTTTTTCAATAAACTCAAAAAATAAGCTAGCTTATGGTTGCCAAACATGGCCTAAGCCCAGTGCCCCTACCCCTATACCATATAATAATGTAGCAGTCATACCGGTATTTGGACGCTTTGCCTTGAAGGACTGCTGAGAGTGTAGATTCACAGCCAATTTGTCATCATTATGGTTCTGCAGCAATTTCTCACTCACATTTTTAAAAGCCATAGAATTTTTCTGGATATAATCGTTAGTGGCTGCCTCCAACTTAAGCCATATTGTGGGATCAGTCTCATCCAACTCCATATCACAACGTTCATCAACTGCAAAGAGATGAGCATAAAATTTTTAACCATGATTCGCAATCACCTGAAGAAGACATCAGGCACTTTCCCAGCAACTACATAAGCTTTTATTGCTATTACTCCCTCCGTCCCAAGATAAATAAGTGTCCACTTTTTTATTTTAGTTCGTCCCAAAAACAAGTGTCCACTTTCAAAAGTAAGTGTCTACATTCTAATTATATCCTTAACTATGAGATGAGAAATTCTTTAGTCCCATATCATTAAGGGTAAAATTGTCATTTAGTTGATTAAAAATATAATGATTATACATTACTAAAACTGTCTTTTCATTGTGGACAATTATTTTTGGGATGGAGGGTGTGCTATATTCTGAATGACAAATAAGATTTAACATCAAACAACTACAAAAGGTGGAATATTCATAATAAATTTCACCTGGATTAAACCGAAAATACTGGATCTCAGGAATCATGGAGAGCAATGTGCTTAACATATCCTCAACCCGCTCAATTGAGCATGCACTCTCAACCAGCACTTGGCCAGTGTCCAAATAACGCCACCCACCTCTTCGAACCTAGAATCAAACACAAAGACAGAAAAAGAAAATGAATAGAGTTAGCACATGTGCAGAATATAAGCAAAGAAGCTAACATCAATCTTGTGGTTTGGAGCGGCCTACAATCTACTATTCACTACTAATCAAAATCAACCCCAGAAACAATCAAAACTCAGACAGAGAGGGTTCTGTTAAGGTGCATTTGGTAGATGTGGCAGGACAGAATAAAAACTTGTTGTCCCACATTTGGTGCAACATTAAACTAGGAAAGGACAGGACTAAGTGGGACAAAAATGCATTTTTTTGTCCCACCAAAATAGGTGGAACAAAAATTAGGGAGATTGCGACAAGATTGGTACATTAATAAACTCCCCATGTCAAATTAAAACCCTAAAACCTTCCACAATTCTCTCACCTGCCTACCCCACTCTCGCCCATCCAGTCCCGCCATGTACCAAATGCACCCATAGGGTTTTGTGCAGGAAGCAATAAATAATCCTGTTTATCTGGATTCCAATTTACACAACATAGAAAGACCTGTTCATGCCATCCGATCTCTCAGTTTCAAGTGATATTTGCTTGGAAGAAGTCGGTCTGACAACAAATTTCCCCAAACTCAAAGCTGCCTTGGTAAACAGGATTTAGTTGGTTCATTTGAATTGAGATTAGACAAAGAAAAGGTAACATAAACACTTGCACACAAAAAATCCTCTTCACTCTTCCATCCAATAGTATATTCGATATCTAAATCAAACATATCATCTGCAAAAGATATATTTTCCCAGGGCAATTCTTATGTGTATTAAGAAGTTCAATTAAGTTCATATAAGAGGGCAAAAAGAAAGAGGGTCCATAGTATTTGGTTTAAAGAACCTGAAAATTCAATAAATGAACCTCTAGTGAACCATGAGTTTGTACTTTGTAAACAAGAAGTAATTATTTACAAAAACTAACATATTATGTAAAGTATTAATATTTGCAATGAATTTGTATCATCTTTGTTTTCAAAAGATTGAATGATTCCCCGATTCATAAGGGATTTTTAAAATAATTAAGGATAAAGAAGTAGAATATACTAAGGTGGCAATTACCTTAATCGGAACGGAACAGCAACCAATTGAAACTAAGGTGTCAATTTTTGCATCTGGCCATAAGAGTTGTGCTTCTCGTATTGCAAATACAGTAGGATTGTTTGCAACAATAGCACCATCTTGCCACCGAAATTCACCTGCAGAAGGCAGAGATAGAAGAATAAACCTCAAAGCCGTAGTTCTTTATTTCTATTGAAAAATTGATTGTAGAAAAAGGCCTAATTTGCTCTTGAATTTGTCACTCTCCATCTCTATTGTGATAGACTCGGTTGACCTTTCTAATTCTCACCACATTATGATTACAAGTTATCTGTTTAATTGCATTCATTAGCCCAAACTACCTCCATGAATGGACATTCTTTCAGTTGTCAACATTCATGCTTAATTGTGTCGTAACAACTATATTCTATGAAGATAATAACTGCAAGCCCGACAAAAATCAACTACAACTTGTGATCAGCTATGTTAGCATTTGAAGGTGTGTTTGGTACGCAGGACCAGACAGGTGAAACTGAGGTAGGTGGATGAGAGAATTTGGAAGGTTTTAAGATTTTAATTTGACATGGGTAGTTTAGTAATTTACCAATCTTGTCCCATCTCCCTGATTTTTGTTCCACCTATTTTGGTGGACGGAGAAAAATGCATTTTTGTTCCAACCAGGTCCTTACCTGTCGCAGTCTAATGTCGTGCCAAACATGGGACAACAAGTTTTTTGTACTGTCGTGTCCCTTCCCGTCTTCCATTTGTTAAAGACTGAACTAAAAAGAAAGTAAAGAATAAATGGATGAAAGGATGTAAGAGAAGAGCAGCTAGTCATATACAATTTCACTAACCATATTTGAATATACAACTGAATTTAGAGAACTATGATGAAGAGGATTCACATTTGGCTGTCATAGGAAAGCAAGCAAAACAGGGAGATAATACCATCAGAGTAATCATCGAGATAATATGGAGCTGCAGATGATGCTCGTATAGCTTGCCATATATGATGTCTACAACTTCCCATATAAGCACCACGTTTGTATCTAATTTCAGCACTGGTAGTTGAAGCTACTGACCCACTGGTTGCTAAACTTTCTGAAATTGTCAAAGGAGCTTCTAGTGTGCCAGAAGGGTACTACAGTTTCAACGAAGAAATATTAATCAATAACAAAAACTTATGTTGTATAAACGGCATACCACAGTTCTCAGAAAGCATATGATATGTCGATTCTAATTAGCAAAACATAGAAGTCAAGGCAAAAAACCTGATAATTACGAAATATATACGGCTGAGCTGGTGACACACTCACTAAAGTTGATACTACAATAACTTTCGGAATCTTTTTCACCGCCGAGTCTATCAAGAGATCTCCATCCTCTTCTGCACATATCTCTTTCAACAATCTCTCAAACTCATCAGCACAGTGCTGGACACAGATCAAACTGGATAGTTTTAGCAAACCATACAACCAAATCCCCATTATATATACAGTGGCATACGCATATCCCATGAAAAAGTATTGACATCGAATTTTTTTTCCCAGATTCCTGGTAACGGTTAAGTTGTCATGTCAAGGAAATTACTCCATAAATTATCAGATCTCACTATTATGTTTTCCAGCTACTAATATTGATAAAATCCTTACAGTGAAAGTGGTTGTCGGGGTCAACTTGCACAAACCTCGACCTATCCTATGGGGCACTGAAGATAACAACCTGAAAAATCCCAGTGGTCCCGACGAGACTCGAACAGGCAAGCAATGTGGAGGAGCCACTAGGCCTAGCCTTTATTTGCTAGTTGAGCTGGCCCTCAAGATTATTGATAGTGGAGTTCCTTCTATTTAATTATTAATTGGCAAATCTATTAGGGAATTTCCTTTTGATGACCATATAGGAAGGTCAAAAGGGAGAATTGCATACTTTAGATCCATGCACAACAACTCTAAAACTTTGTGAAGAACTTTTGTAAAGTTGATCAAACTTCTCTCTCCAAGTTGCTGCTTCATTATCCTTTGGAACGGGTTCCGCAAAAACAAGTTTTCCTGTAAATTTATACAGCAAAATCTTACACGACTGAAGAAAAAAAAGTGAGTAGCATAGTCCCATACAAAAGGGTCATCTAGCTCACCAAGATTTTTATACATTTCTTCACATTTTTCTAAGGACATGAGTTTTATTCCCAGAGCAACCGCAAGCATGCCACCAGTTGAAGTGCCACAAATAAGGTCAAACATCTCATGTATCTGCTTCCCAGTACCCTTTTCAATTTCCTTAAGAATTTGTACAGTAGCAAGACCTTTCATCCCACCTCCATCCATTGTAAGTATCCGGAGTCCTTGTTTTGGTACCTGCCTTCCTTTGATAAAACGCCGCAGACTCTCGTTCTCCCCTATTGTGACATGTACTAAAATAAATAATGAAGATAGTGTTGGGTTCTGGCCAGACCAGACACTTTTTGTGACTCGTTAGACCCGTGATACCACTGTGAAGGTTTGGTGTTTTTTTTTCCTATGAAGGTTTGGTGTTTTTTTTCCCTATGAAGGTTTGCTGTGTTTTTCATGCAAACATCAGTTTTTTTCATGTCAAGGTTCGATTTTTTCATGTAAACTTCCGGTCCTGTGAAGGTTCGGTGTTTTGCTGTGAAGGTTCAGCAAGATCAACTCATCCAAGGGCTCCAAGGTGGTCTCACAGGCCTCATGAAAACTGAGTGGTCTCACATGATTCTAAGTCTACAAATCAATATATTTTTAGAAATAGAAAATCATTTTAGGAAACGAACCAAGAATTGCCAGAACACGAGCTGCAGCTTTCCTCACGCGTAACTCAGATGCAACCGTAAGCCGCAAAAGTAGATCTCTCAAACTTTCAGAAGCAACAAGAATTCGGCGGTTCTCTACACAAAAGGCCAGGTTCCCAATAGCTAGTAATGCGGACCGTTGTACCTAACAATTTATATATTAATTCAGATACCCATGCAAGAATGCTATCAAATGCTAAGAAACTGGTAATATGCAAGCTTACCTCTGGATCTTTATGTGCACACAATAATTTTAATGATCTCATCACATCCTTGTTCATCATTTTTTGGGCCACTGTATCAGAGACGAACCCCAACTTTGCCACAATTTGCAGAACAGATTTCAGTTCTTGAGGACCAACAGATTTCATAACTCTTTGAATGGGTTGCATGATGTCACATTTCATCAACTGAAGTGAAACAGATACATCTGAGGCAAGAGAAGTGAGTGCAGAACCAGCTTGCTCAACCTGGGACAAAGTACGACTACTTGGAACAAAAACCCAAGGAGAAATAGATAAAGAAAATTTACTGTAGTAATGCCAACTAACCACATGCTGATTTTCACTACTTATCATGCTTATCAGCTGTCGTACGGCATTTTCATCTTTACCAATAACTACACGGTTTCCTTCATCTTGCATCATCTTTGCAAGGGCAGATGCGAGCAAAGGATGGTGGCACGAAGAAAAACGAAATATAAGGGCAAAAAATGCACTCAGCTTGTGTCGCGAAGTAACAAAGTAAGAACTATTCTCCATCTGCAGTCCACCTAATAGAAGTTAGGTTTCAACTTTACATAACCAAACCAAATGAGCCCAGTATACCTGCAGGTCGGGTCCCTTTGGGGGGGGGGGGGGGGGGGGTTAAGATGTATGCA